AGGACGGCCCCCAGATTTTGTGCATGGACAAATATCTTATTGGTTGTTATTGTTGTTTCCACAATTGCTGATCAATGACAGAACAAAAGTTGGCCTAGAGTTATAGAGGGTGCAAACCTTTCACCGTGTTTTGCCTGTAAAGGCACCATGGGTATACAAAGGCACCAAATAATGGCCGTTAGATTAACCCAGGTAACTGATGGAGAGTCATGACTCCAATTTAAAGATGTGACACTTGGTCAACCTAATTAAGTGACACGTTTGGTCACAAGATATTTCTGTCCAATTACTGCTAACTGAAACAGGCTGAATGTCATTTTCCTGTGGCTGAGCTTGGCTACTCATTTAAAATTAAATCAGTCCATTTAGCAACACGCTTTGGGTTTATGTCAACCTGAAGGGAGATTTCCAGCAGCTCCCCCAGACCTGCTCTCACCTGCATCTTGTTCTGTTTTGATCATTGCCTGGATACGGGCATTGCCAAAAGGGATAAGATGATATGGTGAAGATACTGGAGGATATAATCAGAATCCAGATGTGTTTTGACAGGCTTAGATTTACTCTAACAAGAAATTAACAGGGCCACAAGTAAACTGCATCAGTCCAGGACAAAGTAAATTGGGTTTCAAAGTGGCATATGTGTAAAAGAATAAAAGAATTTACTTGACCATGTGTCAGTGGCATGGCGTGTCTGCTACAAAGGCCAAAGTGATATGAGGCCACATGAAGAGAAATGGTGTCAAGAATGAGGGAGGTGATAGACTGTCCCTACTTGTTACTCGTCAGACCGTGCCTAGAAGGCGTGTTCCAATGAAGTCGAATATACTCAGAGGGAAACAAGGACAGCGAGGGGACTTGAAGCAGCGTAGAGAATAGTTGAAAACCATATTGAGCATAATAAAGAGACAGCTTGGGGTAGTTAAATGCTGTCTTCTGATATCTGAAGCCACACATGTGGAATTAAAAACCGGTTCCTAAGTAGGTCCTCACAGTCTGAAACTACCACTTTTTGCTGACAACTCCACATCTTCATCTTAAGCCCAGATCACCCTCTGAGTACTAGATCCGTCCATTCAACTCTCTTTTTGGATGTCCCACAGGCACCTCAGACATTCCACCAGAGACCTGGGAGGCATCCTTGACCCCTACTCCTTCCTCTCCGCTGCATTCATTTTGTCACCAAGTCTTGTTAATTCTACCTCCTAAACATTTCTCTAGTCTGCCCCCCTTCTGTTGTCTTGTTTTCTACAGTAACCTCAACTAATTTCCCTAATTCCATCTCCACATACCATCATACATAGTGATCTTTCTAAAACACAGATCGCACCATGACCCTTCCCTGCTTAGAGCCCTTCAAAGGCCTCCCAGTTGCCTACAGAAGTCTAAATTCTTTAATTTGGCATCTGAGGCCTTCCATAGGTCCGGGGCTACCTCTCCACCCTCAATTCCTGCCACTACTTAATTCCCAGTAAGATGTTTTCAGTGCACTTCTTCCACACACAACAGGCTAGTTTATGCCTCTATGCCTTTGCTCATGCTGATCTTTCTGCCTCATATTCTGTTCCTCTCTTCTTGCCTCATCTAATTGTTACTTGTTTTTTGAAATAAAGCTACAGAAACTCTTCCTCTATCATTAGGCGCGGCTAAGAATCACTGCAAGGTGTTTTCATTGCGCCTTGTACTTGCTCCGGTCATTAAGAGCACATTCTATTGAAATGCTCTCCTTCCTCAGGTTCTCACATCTTATCCCTGTTGGTGTCCTCAGTGCCTATCCCAGTGCCAGGCACACATTAGGCGCTTGAACTCAACTCACCGCAGGAAGAGTGCTGCCCATGTTTCTGTGCCTATTTGCCTTCCCACTCACATTCCCATCAGGTTGGGCTTTCACATCCTCAGTTGCTCGGGTGGGAAGAGCTTCTCTGACATTTCCCTAATGACTCTTCACTCAGAATAATGAGCATCCTAGATCTTTTGCCCAACAAAACCTCCCAGGTGTTATCCTTACCTCCCTTTCTGCCTGTAACACGCTACACAATTCAGAAGGCCACTGGACACTCCTGGAGACCTATCCTTCAGCAGAGCTTCCTTTTCATCCATGGCGTCGTTTTTTCAAGCAGCATCAAGTGTTTCCAGTTGAGGTGGTCTGGGATCCTGGGCCTATTTTCCCAGAAGAAGAGGGTTGTTGGCAATCATTGAATCCCCAGAGCTGTTGTCATCTGAATGTAGGGTAGCTCTTATCACCAGGGCAGTGTGTGCGTGCACATGTGTAGGCTCCTCTAATTTCTCTGTCTCTGTGATAATCCCTACGGTGTAGAGACTGAGGCTGCCCACATTGGACTGCCCTTATCTCATACAGGCACAAGGAGACCTTCAGGTAGAAGGAATTACACATCCATGATACGAGAGACTCTCTGAATGTCTATCTCGGCCTTTCTGTGGTGCCTCCTCTCTCTCTCCACGTGGGGATGGTGCTTACAAAACATTGGTCCTGACACTGTCCCTGATGGTTGTGGTTTGTCTGCTCTGAAAGACCAGGACAAGTTTTTAGGAAGGAGAGCCTCAGACTTGCACGGGGATGCACTCTAGGATTTACCAGAAGATGTCACTGTAGGCTTAAACCAGTAAAACAAATTAGGGTGGAAGGACTGTCAGCTAAGCATGAAGGTGACTCCATTATGGGGCTTTAAAACACCCAGGAGCCTGCATTATAATGCATGCCTGGAAACGCTGGTTGAAAGATTAATCCAAATGTGTCACTGGACTTCATAAATTTCTTTTTTTCCCCAAATAATCAGACTAATCGCCACTAAACTATCGCCTCAGGCCTAGCATAAAAGACCCATAAGTGTGTACTGAATGAATGAATGAATGAATACCAAAACTAGGAGTGGAAAGAGGGGTCCCGTGGGAATAGAGGTAACATTTGTTGGTAAAAGCTACTGGGGAACAAAATCTGCTGCTTGTTAGCTGTGAGTCTTTATGGAGATGAATTTTAGTGGCACCAGCAAAGTCAGGTCCTAGGAAAAGCAATAAGACAGGTGAGGGTGGTCTTGGCCCCCTCTCCATCCTCACTCCCAGATGCTTCTCCTGTGCCTCATGCTTGTTTATTCCAGAAAAAAACATAGATGATTTTTTAAAAAAACCTTTCTGTGATTTTTGCAGGGCACTTAGAAGATTATCCAGAGTTTTTATATGATGAGGCATGGCCTTCCCAGTTCCCAGCTCCCTCCCTCCTCTTCCCTGGAATAGTTCATTAAATAAGCAATTAGAGGAGTTACTGAGATTCTGCTTTGTGCCAGGTATCAAGGCCAAGGGACAAAGCTAGAATGGATGGGATGAGAGTTATGGAAGAATAGCACAGAGCCCCTGTCCTGGAAAACATAGTTGAAGCAGAAATTTAAACAAGTAATTGCAATTCGATACCCCGTGTGTTTTAACAAAGGCTGTGTGGAAGTGCTATGGTGGCACAGAGGAAGGGATGGCCGGCAGTGAGGGGTGGGGTAAGTTTTCTCAGAGGAGAGATGGTACTTGGACTGGAACTTGGAGGATGAGTAGGATTTTCCAATCAAAAAGGAAGGTCACACCAGGCAGAGGAAACACCGTACACCGAACAGAGGCATACGGGATAGATCGGAGGGTGCCCGACCTGCTCAGGGCTCAAGACTTGGGAGAAATGTGTCCTCAGTGGACATCAGCCAACAGACTCAGCCTGTCAGGTGGTTGAGTTGGTTCCTCTGGCTCCTCGTGCACAGGTACAGAACCACCACTCCCTCAGATGATAATGAATAAACTTCAGAAAAGCTGTAAGCCATTCCCCAAGTTTCCTTTAAGAAACTAAATGTTCATATTAAGTGTTTATTGCTGTTTTCCTTTCACAAAATGCCCTTCCATGACCTCATCCTTCCTCCAGTGAACCAGAATGGAAACTCATTTCTTATTAAAAGCACAACTCCAGGATCGTTTCTCCGCTTGAGTATGCCTGATCACATCACAGGCCCTGATGTTTCTGGGGTGTGGTGTGTGTGTGTGTGCACCTGCTGTGCATGGGTGTGTGGTTTAATCGTTTGCTAGTCCACTATTTGAGCAAAGAACTTTATCAGTTTGCAGCTTCAAAGTGAAGAGAGCTGTATAGCAAAGCCTCCACACTTGCTGGCATCCACTTGTCCTTTCAGGGGGTAAAGAAAGAGGCATTTTGGAACTGATAGAGTTAACTTTCCTATGCTGGGAATATTATCATGTGAGCGAAGGAAACCAAGGTAGTAGCTTGCGTATATGCCATTGACAGCTACCATGTCTATTTCAGTCAGCGACTAACCACAATGTTTATTTCTGGAGGCACTGGGCTGCTCTGCCTATCTCTCCGTTCCACTTCCATAACGTATGAGCCATGATGTTATGACAACAGCCAGAATCAAAAGTGTTATATCAGACACTCTTGCAATGAACTTTTGTTTTTTAATAAGATATCCTGATTAGACTGGATATTGGAAAAACGCTTTTATATATTTAGTAGGATACATTAGAATTTGAGATCACTTATCAACTCCATATCACTTCAGTAAAATGACTTGCTTCCACTGAGTCTCCATTTCATGATCAGTCAATGGGAGTTTAGGGGTGGGAGGTATGAAATAACATGGTTCCCTGCTTAGCAAAAGAGGTCGTTGGGAGGGTTTTGTCATTGGTTGGAGAGAGAGAAACAGAAGGGAAGGGGGAAGGGGAAGTAAAGAATGACAAGGCCGATGTTCTGGGCCTAAACTTTTCATACCTGCTTTCGCTGCAGTACCAGCAAATTGAGTGAAACAGTTAGCTATATGGACAGGCTAGTGGGACTCAGAGAGGGGACTACAGCACAGTTCACAGGACAAATTCCACCAGATCTCCATCATTCACTTTTGCATTCATTACTGGCCAGTGAGCATCACATATGCCATGCACCTCCCTGATTCCACTTACGTCACTCACATTCCTAACTATTGGTATTTGTGCTTTGTCCGTAGGAACTTCCACTACATCACCATCCTCCGAGACCCCGTGTCTCGGTACCTGAGTGAGTGGAGGCATGTCCAGAGAGGGGCGACATGGAAAGCATCCCTGCATGTCTGCGATGGGAGGCCCCCAACCTCCGAAGAGCTGCCCAGCTGCTACACTGGTGATGACTGGTCTGGCTGCCCCCTGAAAGAGTTCATGGACTGTCCCTATAACCTAGCCAACAACCGCCAGGTGCGCATGCTTTCCGACCTGACCCTAGTAGGCTGCTACAACCTCTCTGTCATGCCCGAAAAGCAGAGAAACAAGGTCCTCCTGGAAAGTGCCAAATCGAATCTGAAGCACATGGCGTTCTTTGGCCTCACTGAGTTTCAGCGGAAGACCCAGTATCTATTTGAGAAGACCTTCAACATGAACTTTATTTCGCCATTTACCCAATATAATACCACCAGGGCCTCTAGTGTAGAGATCAATGAGGAAATCCAAAAGCGTATCGAGGGACTGAATTTCCTGGATATGGAATTGTACACCTATGCAAAAGACCTCTTTTTGCAAAGGTATCAGTTTATGAGGCAGAAGGAGCATCAGGAAGCTAGGCGGAAGCGCCAGGAACAACGCAAGTTTCTGAAGGGAAGGTTCCTTCAGACCCATTTCCAGAGTCAGAGTCAGGGCCAGAGCCAGAATCCGAGTCAGAATCCGAGTCAGAACCCAAATCTGAATGCAAATCAGAATGTGACTCAGAATCTGATTCAGAATCTGACTCAGAGTTTGAGTCAGAATTTGAGCCAGAATTCGAGCCAGAAGGAGAACGGGGAAAGCCAGAAGCAGAATCCAGGCCAAGAGCAGAGTGATAGCAACACCAGCAATGGCACCAATGACTATATAGGCAGTGTAGAGAAATGGCGTTAAATGGCTCCCAAAGGCTTTTGCACACTGCTCCCAAAGCGCCAGTAAAAATATGGCAAATCTTAAAAGATGAGAGTGTCCAAACACATCCTGCTTCCTTAAGTTTGGAAGTTAAAAACAGTTAAGATGTTGCCTTTACAGTTGCCTTTCCATTAAATGTTATACTGTGCGTGGGTAAAACAAATTTCAATATATAATTAAAGTGTCTTTTTTTTTTGGTTTGTTGGACTGTTTATAAAATCCAAAAGCCAAACCAGGCTCACCAGAAATTGCTGTTTAAGTATTTTAAGTTCTTAAGTTAGTTACAGAGACAAAATGAAAACATAAAATGTGGCCATTCAACTTATGGCTAAGAAATGGACTTTAAATTATTCATGACACACTGTCAAAACCCAATCTTGGTAGCAAACATTTTTTCCAGGGGTAAGCATGAATATAAACATTAAAAAAAAAACACTAAAATTAAACACGAAAGCTTTCATTTTCTTCTGATTTTAACAAGGAATCTATTTAAATAGAATAAGAACTGATGGTAAAGTTTACCAAACTGTAGAAAACAAAAAATTTCTCTCCCAAACATGGGTAGTCATGCAAAAATATTGGCTTTTCAAGTAGAACAGGACTCATATCTTGTTATTTAAGAGAGATTTAACATTTTAAACTTTTTCTACCTTCTACTGTTTAAAGGTTTTAAACAGGGTGTATCTCATATTAAACAAAAGAGTTTTTTTCCAAATGGAATACCAATGTAAAGATCTAATTTCCAGATGCTTTCAGGGCACTGTAATTTCAACAATTCTGGAATCTTTTTGGCGCTGCTTCTCATTCATTTTAAGGCTTCTCCGAGTTGTGCTCATTCCAAACTAACCCATTTATAGAACCTTTCTTCATCATCTAAATTGTGTGTTGCTGAATTTATTGTGATATATAATCCTGGATTAAAGTCAGGACTTTCTTTCTATAAAATTGTCTTATCAATGTTTGTGTAGTGAGGTCCTTATCAAGAAATTCTTGAACAGGATAATGTGTCTAAAAATATTGCTGAAATTATTCTTGATCAGATAGAATTGAACCTGAATGTGAATGAATTGTTATTTACTTTTTGTACATTTTTATTGTAATGTTTCCAGTTGGGCTGGCTATTTCTAGCCCATTAGTTCTTTTTTGTGTTGACAGATTGTAGACAATTATAAGAGAAAAAAATGGTAGAATAAACATTAGAATAGCCAGAGTTATTCAGTAACACCAAGAGCTGTACCTCAATACTTTGGGTTAATCCTCTACCAGGTTTTCTTTTTAAAAAGAATAAAAAGAAAGAGTGTTATACAGTGAGGGTAAATATCAGGAGCATATGAGTTGAGGAAAGTGATTGAGTATTGGAAGACTATGCATAAATACTTTTAAGGTATAAATTATGAATTGAGCAGGGCAAAAAGAAGTGTGTAACCCACTGTGCTATCAAGCATCATGATTCTGGTCAGTTTCCATTTTATGGGTTTTGCTATACTTTTCCAAGGACTTACGCTAACCCCCTGGCTGTCAATCAAACAAGGCAACTGGGTGGCATTTATGTTTTCAGGAGGGACACGCTTAAAAGTGTGACCATAAAGTCACATCTTGTACAGTCTGCCCATTTGCATGATTAGTTTCATCTGTAATAATATGGCCACAAGCTGGACAAAAAGCTATTTAGGTTTAAAACTAAATTTTCTTGACTCTGAGCTTGTATCAATATATCTAAATTTTGTTTTGTCTGACAGTATTGCAGTCCTGGGAGTTCTGAGAACTGAAAAACTGAAAGGAAATTTTTTAAAAAATCAAACACACCTTGAAGTCAAAATGTTTTAGAGTGAAACTATTTTGTGTATATTGTGTTTTTAAAATAAAGATTCTGTAGATCACTGTGGTATTTCAATTTTGTTTAGTTTTAATTGATAATGTTTGCTCTTAAAGCTGATAGGTACTGTTGGAAAGCAGTATGAAGCCCGAGCCAGTCGAAAAGCTTATTACAGAAAAAAATATTTTGTGTTATTGCTGTGGTGTGCATGGTTTTGCAGAGATTAAGTGCATATTCTCTGTCTATACTGATTATTGTATATAGGGGATGTTATAAATATACATTTTTGTCATCATCATGTAAATCCCATGATTTCAACTGTAAACATCTGTCCAATGGTGTAGCTTTACAAACCATTCACTGATTTTGTGTAATTTAACAATAGAGATGAAATAAAAGTTTAAATTACAGGCTCTGAGTAATTTCATGATTTGAAGGTTTGCAGCCACTAGGAATTATGACATCACAGACAGAATTCTCTTTTCTCAAGGAGTTTCCAGGGCACTCTTACTGAAGTGGGGAAAAGGTAGAAGACCTGAGCTATGCTTCAGGACATAAGATCAGGGCTGGCTGCTAAGAAAATGGGCTATTGAGGGAGCCCAGAGAGGAGTTATAATAAAGAAATAACTAGTTGGCCCAGTTCCTAGGGACTTAGGATTTGCAATGGGAGTTACAACCAAGTAAGAGCAGGGCTTTTTTGGGGGGTGGGAGGTCGAAAAGAGCTGTCACACTTGGAGGGATGATTTCCTTCCATGAGGGAATGAAAGGAAGCATAGAAGCGTCACACAACAGGCTTGAGACAACTGCAGTTTCCCCATGCGTGGGACTCAGAAGAAGAGACCAACAGAGTAGTCCAGGGTGGTGATGTGTAGCCGACAGCTTTCTTGTTCTGTCCCAAGGAGGAATTCCTTCTCTCTTGTCTTCACTAGGGATTAAACTAAGCAAACAAACAAAAACCAGGCATTTTGTTAAAAAGCGTAACAAGGCACAATGTATGCTGACTCCAGTTGTAACCCCATGGGATTGTGCAATAAGGCAATCCTAATCTCTCAAATGCCAAGAATCGGGTAAACTGACAGTTTTAAATGTCAAAGGAATTAGATCAACACCTCAAAAATTCTAAAGTAAGTTTGTAACACATCAATCAGACCTTCACAAATTTGCAAAGCCCTCAGAACTGCAGGAGAAAACTGTCTTAAAAACAAAGCAAATCAGCTGTTTCTCAGTGAAAGTAATACTGTTCTGAGAAGCTAGAGCTGGGGTCCAAAAACTACAGACCTGGGCCAAGGGCAGACCCCCCCACTTGCTTTCGTAAGTAAAATTTTATTGGAACTCAGTCATGCCCGTTTCTTTACATATTTCCTCTGGCTGCTTTCACAGTACTGAGTCTGAGGCAGTTGCAACAGAGATCTTATGACCTGAAAAATCTAAAATATTTATTTTCTTGCCCTTGAGAGAAAAAATTGGTAATTCCTGATCTAGAGAGCCAATCAAAATTTCCTAGATAGTGAAATCTTGGCAGAGTTGATAACGATCCCAGACTCTGAGAGAATAAGGAGGTGTGATTCAAACAACATACTTCCCAATAACACAACAAAAGCAACGACATTTATTGAATACCTACTACATGAAAGCACTATATTAGGCCTGAGAACAGGGAAGAATCTGATCTTTTCTCTCACGATTATGCAAATCTAAACCAAACGCTGTGTCAGAGAGTATAGTTAAAAGCTTAATTAGTTCTTCAGTGTGTGTGTTTGATCACATGTTTGTAAAAAATTAAAACGATATAGATGTAAAAGGTGAAATTACCTAGACAACTCTTACTCCCTAAAACTAGTGTAATTATGTGATTTCTTCCAGACCTCCTTGTTTTATTCACATTCATATCTAATCTCTCTCTCTCACGTACACACACACACGTAATATTGATAACAAAAATGAAACCATATTGTTCTCATTGTTACTCGATTTCCTTTTGTTTTTAAAGCTCAACAGTGTATCATGGTTTTCCTCCCAAAACTGGAATATAGTGGATGGTTTACCCTAAGCCCCCAGACTGATTACTGCTGATGTTATAGGTCAACAGTGTAGGCTCCAGCTTTCTCCTGCCTGGGTTTGAATCCCAGCCCCACCACTTATCAGCTCTGTGACCTTGGCAAAGTCACTGACGTCTCCATGCCTCAGTTTCCTCACTAGCTCTAACTTCACAGGGTTGCTGTGAGAATTAAATGAGTTCATATTTCTAAAGCACTTAGAACAGTGCCTGACACAGAATAAGCTATATACGTGTTGAGAGTATTCCCATTATCATGATTATTGCTATTAGTAAGAAGGCTAGATGTCTGATGAATGCCATGTCTCTAATAGCTAAAGACTGACTCTGAGATCAAGAATTGAAAATATTGGCAAGAAAATAAGCAAAAAGTAGTATATGTCCAATTGTGACTAATTAAAAAAAACTTTTCTAAAAATATAAAATATATATATATTACAACTGTTACATAAGTAAATGTATAAAGACCCATCCTAAGGTTTACTTTTGAGTTTTGAATGTAGCCAGTGACAGAAGAATTCTGAAAGATCTAATCCACAAAATGCCAAGTGAGTCACCTTACTCTCTCCAGCAATGAAAATGCATTATCTGATGTCCCTGGCTGATTTGGGACTGAGTTTATTGCACTTAGCCAAGGATGACTCACCACCAGCCCCCTTCCTTTCCCACCACCTCTCCACCCAACATTGCTGGAGTATGGGCCTGTTTGCGTGATAACATCTAAGAGCGCCCCAAAGGTCTAGCTGCCTTTCTTACAGGTCTGGGTTGGCGCCTTGAATTCCCACACTCCAAGTCTCTACTCTGGGTGAAAGCAGCCTGTCCAGAAGACCCTATTAAAATGCATATATGCCACCTAAGAGGAAGGAGGGGGAGTAACCCATTAAAAGTTGGCACATACTAGTTTATCAGATTAGCAGTCACGAAGGGCCCTCAGGGAAGGGGACACACAAGTCTTGTAAATTCAGGTGGTTCACTTCACTTTAAAAAAAGAAAAGGAAAAAGAATAATTTACTTCCATCCAATTTGAATTTTTAAATTTTGATCTTGTTGCCTTAAGGGCAGGATAAGGTTCAATAACCCTCATCAAGTCTCATTAAGTTGTATAAATTCTATTCTCATTATGCCTGGTTAAATCTTGTGACTTCACTAATCTTGGTAAGATTTAATGATGCCTAACTGGGTCTAAGAAAAGTTTAACAGTTTTTGTGACTTAAAAATTCTCAACTGGATTTCATGTGACTTAAGAGGACCTGAGAGGAATTGTCAAGTCTTAAAAGAGAGTGCTATACCATAGAATGATAGTCCCTAACCAAACAGCTGCAGCCAGTTAACCAGCCTTTTTATGGATTAGTTCAAACACAAGAGTGATTTTCTTCTCAGGCCTGAAAGAGGTCTTCTGTCCCTGAAACTAAGCTAGAGCAAGATCATGTGCTGATCAAGGTCCTTGGGATTACATGGCAAAGACTTTGTGAATTTGATCAAAGCAGATTTAGGCTTCCCAAAACTGAACAGGTAGGAAGGAAGTTTAAGCAGGGAGCCACAGCACTGAC